TCCATGTCTCCATCGCAGGCTTCAGGCCAGCCCACAGCACGTAAGCGGTGAAGCAGCTGCGACGTCTGAGCATGGTGATTTAATCCAGTGGCGTGCTGTACCCAGACAAATTCCTTAGCTGTGAACTGTGCCGCCACAGTTAACTTTGTCAGTCCAGCTTGTAATCGCATTTTGAATGAGATTTGATTTTTGATTTAATTTTGGTTTTTGCCTGATGAAACCCCTTTTCCAGAAAACCAGTGTGGCGTTACTCCGCTCTCATCCTTTAATTTGCTACTCTTTGGGGCCTGTACCAGCCTTTCCCGTACTTTTCCTGGAATCGGTGTCAAGTTAACCAGCTCGTTTATTCTTGCTGGCATATTAGCTTTTTTCCAGCCCCCTGGAACCTCTCCAGCATTCACAATCTGTTAAAAAGCGACCTCAGTGACTCAGACTTCCTGAGCCAGGCCCTTTAAAACTCTTGGATGGACCCACGCGGTGCTGCGGGTCTATGGATAAATACATTTTAGCACTTGCTCTTTAACCACCCTGCTTCGAAGCCGTGCCGTTACCTCTCTAGGCTGTGAAGATGCTTTCCAGCTTTCTCCTGTCTAGTTTTTTGTGTGTCCTCTCTGCAAAGGGGCCAGAACAGGCAGGGAGAGCTGCTTAGGGATTTATGCCCTGATGTGTCTCTGGGGTCACAAGGGCGTGTGACGGTGCGATCTGCTGGCTGACGGCGTGGCGGAGGGGTTTTCTTTTTCAGCTCCTGGTCATGTAATGAGATTTGCTGTGCTAATAATTAACAGGCAGCAACGGGCCCCAGAAATTCTGCATCGATAAAGTTGGCAAAGACACGTGGCTGCCTCGGAGCCATACATGGTAAGTCATTTCTGCTCGGCCCTGTTAGGAGTGCGTGGGGGCAACCGCTGGCAGTCCCTGCGTGGGGCCCCGGGCATCCTCCGTCCCCTCCGCCCGTGTTCCCACGGGACGTAGCTGCTGTTCCTGGACGTGCATCTTTACCGCAGCTGCTGCGCGCGGCTGCAGCTTGAGGGGAGCCTGCAGTGGGGAGGAGAACTGGGATTGCAGCGCTATTCACGGCCTCTGCTGTCTCTCCAGCTTTAACCGCCTGGATCTCCCCCCCTACAAGAGCTACGAACAGCTGAAGGAGAAGCTGCTTTATGCGATTGAGGAGACGGAAGGATTTGGACAGGAGTGATGGAGCTTTGGTGCTTTCCCAGGGGCAGGAAGGGCCCTGGAGCGCTGCTGGCCGCGAGGTCCTGCCCGCCGGCACCCGCAGAGCCCAGCGCCGAGCCCTCTCCGCGGGATGGTGCGCAGGCAGCTGCGGACACTGTTGCTCTTGTTCCTGTGCGAGATCTGCACTAACGCAGAAATGGGTCCACGTTTCCTTCCCCAGACAAATTTGAGGTGTGATGGGGAGGTGGAGGCGAAAGCCTGGCTCTGCTCGGCTCGTGAGGGGTGCGGGCTGGCGCGGAGGGGACGGGGAGAAGCCCTGGGCCTTGGCAGGCAGCGCGTGGTGCACCGGGGCTCCCCCGTCCCCTCTCACAGACACAGTTACATGAGATCTGGTTTTGGCACAGGCTATTTTTCCCCCCTAGTGTTTTCTACCTTCTCATGGCATTTTAATAAATGCAGGTGAGGAGGGGAAATGGCTCTCGAACCAACTCTCAGGTCACTTTGGGGCCCTATTCTGCACCCAGGAAAGGTAACGGGGAACCCCCAGTCGATGCCGCTGGGGCCGACGCTCTGCACGAGGGCTGGGACGGTCCCTTCCCTGCCAGACCCGCGGCTGCCTG